AGACTAGACATTCACTGCGACGGATTACATGACTCAAGTTCTAAGAGTCTACAAGTTGATTTTCACGCTGCAGAGAAATGAATGGAATCCAATTTGTGTCTGGAGCTGAACTGTCAAACAAATAAATTGCAAACACACTGCCATGGTCCTCTAAGGTAATGTTGAGAGCTTCAGTACAATTATGGGTAGTAAGGCTTTCTGGCCATGATACAAGTCCACATACTGTTGATCATCTTTATCAGTCCCTTTAGTGCTGTGGGAGAAGGACACAGAGAGTGTCTGGCTTTCTTTTCTCTCTCATTTACCCTCATTTCATGGTGAGACGGGTCTCAAAGTCACACATTTAGCTCGCAAATGGATGGGAACAGAATGTTTTCTGCCTTGTGTAAAAAAAAAAAGAAAAGGGAAAACAAAACAAAAGAAGACCTAAAATGCCTCCTGTGGCACTCAGGTGTCTCTCAGAACAAGCTGTATTTTATACTTTTACCTAATCCTACTGTGGCTTTGAAACAGCGTCGGGCTGAAATCTACAAAACTGCAAACAAGCTGAAATGTCTCAAAAACATGGCGCAGCTGCTGTTGTGTTATCTGAGACAAACTGGCATAAACAGCAGTGAAAATGTGTCTAGCACTAAAAAAAAATCCTCCCTATAGGCTGACTTTGAAGAGGGAAACCGCAGGTGAAAAATATGGCAATGAAAGCTGATTAGTGCTTCTGGAGTGCAGCCCAAAATCTATAATATGAAAGTAGGGATGCATCGGATTATCGATCAGGGAGTGTTGAAGAGTGTCTTGGCTGTGGACGGGTCATGAAGAGTGACGATGTTGTAGGGATGTGATTCCCCTCCTGTGCGTTGGGCCCATTATTTCTATCTACCTTATGTGTATTCTTATATTCGCCATAAAAACATTTACGATTACAGGCAATATGATAGATATAAACACCTTTAATAAACAGTGCGGCGATAATGTAACAGCATCACAGTGTCTCAGAAGACTAGTCCATAAAAGAGTTCAGTTGAACTTATTTGACCTCACTTGCTTTTCAATCTTCCTCTTTCTTGCCATTTTACAGTTTACAGCAAGTTTGCCTCCAAAGTCTTTTCTGTTTGTAATTGAGTCCCTAAAGCTGCACTAATCAATCAGTTTTTTAATTAGCGATGACTCAAATGACTGGGTATAATGTAAAGGGGGTGGGGGGGTGAGGAACCCACAGAGAATAATCACTTGACTGCAGTTCATCTTACCCATAGAGATAGAATGGGGGTAGAATGGACACTGAACTGTTTTCCGTGGTCATATAACAAGTACAAAAGAAAATGGAGCTTCTTGTTAGTTGTTATGGTGACAGCACACATCATTTGGGCTCTCTCAGGAGTCTGACAATTCAGTTTAGCCTATTCTTACACCTGTTTTCCTTGACGCAACCGTGCAGCAATCTGTGGGTACATTTCAAATCATATACTTTCTCTTTTTACTTTTAGAAGGTACTGCAGCTGCCCTTAAAAAGTACGTACTGTTGCATGCAGTGTGCACATAATCGAGACATACAACTTTCCCATGACATAATTTTGACCCCTTTTTATCTGTTACTCGGATCGGGTATCGGCACCAATCACGTTATTTTTACAAAATCGGAATCGGTAATAAAAGATCGGAGTCGAGACAACACGTTCAGCGGCCACCGCTTCTCTCTTTATTCCGACCAACACAGCCACACTTAATGGTGGAACCTCGCCTACCACAGCTCTACAGCGACTCTGGAGGGACAATTTGTTTACAATTCAGAATTTGTTTACATTTTGAGCTGCTGAATTGCTGATAAGCTTTTTGGATACTATTTGAATAAAAAACAATTATGTGACAACATGGATGCAGTCTTTTTTTCCGTTTCTTAATGCTTTGCAAAGTATTGGATCGGACTTGGTTTCAAAATAAAGGACTCGGTATCGGATCGGTATCCCTATCTGTTACCTTGGAGATCAAAGAAAATGCTGTTCATCGAGCTTGCCAAAGACGTGCGTCAACTCAGAGAGCTCTGCTGCTGTTACTTTTGCAATCTATGTTGTTTATAACAGTAAAATTATATCTGCATTTCTCTGTCATTGTTATTTATAGTCATGTCCTTTTGTTGTCAGAATCTTTATGATTATTTTGTTCCCTTAAACAAATAATATTCCTGTTATTACTATTCAACTGATCATCAGTCACTTGGATGTGCTGTCATCCGTCATTGTGACTTCTGACAGCTGTCAGCAAGCCATCAAGCAGTCATCTCTGCGGCTCAGCCGATGTGACGAATCTTCTGCTGTGCAGAGGATTGTGGGTCAGAATAGCCAGAAAAGCATGCTGGCTTGCATACTGCAAATGCGACACAATGTAGTAGAACATCCTGGTATTTTTGATATAGGCCTACTGCATTGGACATATGAAACTGTGGACAGGGTTACCTCTTACAAATATTTAGATACCTTTTTTGATGAACATCTTAAATTTGATGTTAACACTGTAGATGTTGTGAAGCAAGGGCAACAGACCTCCTCTGTAAACTGTAATACTTTTCCATCAGTCCCATCACCCTCTGTCTTTTCTATCAGTCTTTTTATTGAGAGCCTTCTAGGTTTTCTATTTATCTGCTGGTTTCACAGCCTCACATTGAAGGACAGAAGCAGTTTACATGGATTGTTAAAATGTGCTCCGAGATCACAGGAGTGACACAATGGGACTTGACCGGTTTTGCAATAAACAAATCCTCCGGAAAGCCACAAGTATTTTAGCTTCTTCTGGACATATTCTTGTAGGGGAATTTTCTCTGTTGCCATCAGGGCTTTGTTATGTTTTGCCTGCTTGTAAAACTAACTGGTATTCAAAATCTTTCATTGCCTGAATCTGAATCATACTATGTACTGGGACATACTAAATCTTTTTCTTGCATACTGAATATGATGGCAGTATGGGTATTGGAACGCATGGCATGTTTCTGTCTTTCACAGAACAAAGACTAGCCCTAACATGAGCTTAATTGCCTTGTTAACTCATCGTAAAACACACTTCATTCAAACTCTAGAGGAACAAAATAAAACTTACCAAAACCATCGCTGTTAGTCTTGTTAGTCACTGAGTTAGTTAGTCCACTGTTCCAACAATTACGTACTCTGGTTTGATCGAAATAAATCCTTATTTCACCAAGTTGGATGTAAAAAATATGCTGTCTCTGCATGCTGTATTCACTTCGCAGAATCTCTGACTTATTCATTGGAGCACTGTTGCCAACTCCTCAGTAAGAAAAGTAGCTATTGGCTGTCGGCTAAAAGTCGCTAGAAGTCCCTAAATGACGTCATCGCCTAATTTGCATAATTGTCCATATGCATGTAATTGTAATGGCTGCTGTAGGAGGGAGGAATAACGTCGGGACTCGTGGAAGAGACCAAATCTGAGTAAAAAACACCCTGAATATGTTTAGAACTCCAAATGAACCTTCTTTGAGTGATTTATATTAGACAAAGAAAATTTTACATTTACATCCCGCCCTGACTGTAAACCAGGTCGGGATCAGCCAGCGGCGGTTCCACGCATGCGAGATTCACTTGCAGTCTGGACGTGGAGGGGTTAACATTTCCTGCTCTGACTGCAGCTGGGAGGGAGGACTGGGCCATCTGCGAGTGCTTTGGGGCGAGAGAGGAGCCCACGGCAGCATCCGCTGCTCATTGAGAAGAATAAGAATGAACGTGCTCTCACGTGAGAGTCAGAGTCAGAGTCTCCAATAACATCAGAAAAAGTCGCTAGATGTCCATTCTGCTGTAATTCTGTTTCTTTGAAGTCAGCTCCATTAAGCTCTCCAGCTTCTTTAAGCTGACTGTTTTAGTTTTACAACTAACTATCAGTTATTTGCTGGTTCAGTCTGATCTGTTTCTCTAAACCTCCAGGAGAAATAAGGAGTTCTTTTGCCGTGCTCATAGGCTTCTCAGATGTTTCTCAGCTTTAAAAACAGATAAAATACACAGAGTTAAGACGTGTATTTGATCACTGAGATAAATGTCTGAATTGTGCAGGCTCATTTATACACCAATTAAGTTTTCTTTTTGATCTTACTGTTATCTGAAGAGCTGAATATTTCAGACAAATAAAAACGACTTCAGTGAGAGAGGAAAAAGAGCATTTTAAGGTCTTAAATTAGGATCGGACTGAGACAATAGGAAGGCTATTTCTCCGGAGCTGAATTTAACAAGTATGAGAAAATGGTCAAATCCCATATTGATGTTATATTGAGTTCAGTTATGTCTAGGAGAAATAGGCTGGACAAAAAAAAGAGATTTTCCTTTCCTCTGGGCAGGCAAAGTTAGCGACTAGCAGGATGAGGCTTTAGTGGTGAATTTGGCAGCAAAAGAGTCGCATATTTCTGTCAGAATTAACACGTGAATATTGGACTTATGATCATCAGGTGAACGGAAACATGACTCAAAGTGATGCTAATGTTGCTCTGTATCAACTGGATGTGTAATTAAGCAACTGTTTGCTGACAAGTTGGTCATATCAGCTTAAAACATGAGGATATGTCAGTGTTCACAGCTTGTTTCTGCACCTGCAGATCTGCCAAAAACATATGTTTGTGCAGGTTTGAAGTGTTATTTTGTTGAAACACATTAAACAAATCTGCCTGTTAAGATTATTTCATGTGTTTGTTGAAACAGATTAAACCGAAGAGTTGAAGATTTTACAGTTAAATTAGAGACAGTGACCTGTTGACTATTTTTACAGTGCTGATTTTATAAAGAGAATCCAGATAATAAAGCATAATGGTAAAATACAGAAAATGTGGTGCCAGCCCAGGATTTTTCTAGTTAATAGCTACAGAGGAGTTTGATAGAAGAAACATTTTCATCAACAAAACATCATGGTTTGTTCTCAGTCCCTTTATTTGCGGTCATGATCTCATTTTGCCTCAAATCTGAGTCAATTTATTGTGAGTAACCCTCATATAATGTGTGTGTTTGCTCCAGGTCTGGACGACTGCTTGCAGCAATACGTGTGTGTGTTTGAGCGCGGAGGTGTGTGCGGGGAGAGGCTGCTAAGGATTAGCCACGCTGAGCTGGAGGAGCTGGGAGTTTCTCGCATCGGACACCAGGAGCTCATTCTGGAGGCGGTGGACTTGCTCTGCGCTCTGGTGAGTTTCTGTGTGTTTGTCTCTCAGTTTCGACGCAGTGCTGAACCCTCATTAAGCGTCCTTACTGCTGCAGCTGGTAATGTATTGGTGTTCTGCTTGAATGCACAATGTGATAGATTGCACAAAGTAAATTGTCACTGTGCTGCATCAAATCTTTGCATCTCCGAGTTGTTACAATCACAAACTAAGAGGAAAGTTTTAAAATATTCAAACTCAGAGAGAAATGTGACGTGTTGTGTTTACCAAAACAGAAGCACTGGAGAAGATACAACTGAAAATCCTGAATTACCAGTGGTGGAAGAAGCACTCAGATCTTATACTTCAGTAAAATTAGCAAAACTGTAGTGTAGAACAAGTAAAAGTCCTGCATTCAGAATTTGACTCAAGTAGAACTACAAAAGTATTGGCATCGAAATCTTACTATATCTTACATCTGTGTGTGTGTCTGTTCCACATTTTTCTTCTCCTCACTGACTTGGTCAATCCATGTGAAATTTGGCACAGTGGTAGAGGGTCATGGGAGGATGTGAATGAAGCAATATTACATCAGTTGGCCAAAGGGGGGGCTATAGCAACCGATTGAAATTACAAACTTTGAATGGGCATATCTCATGCCCGTATGTCGTAGAGACATGAAACTTTGCACAGAGATGCCTCTCCTCATGAGGAACAAATTTGCCTCAAGAACCCATAACTTCTGGTTATATAGATTTTCTGCCATTTCGCTTTTTTTGAAAAACACTTCAAATCGATCTCTTCCTAGGAAGTTTGACCGATCTGCATGAAACTCGGTGAACATAATCTAGGGACCAATATCTAAAGTTCCCCCTTGGCAAAAGTTGGAAAACTTACTAAAACTGAGCTTCTATAAGGCAATGAATATTGCGGAGGGCGTGGCTCATCACATAAAGGTGTATAACATCTCAGGGGTTTCACTGATCACCACGCAACTTTGAAGGCATATGACCACACATAATCTGAAGGGACCCCTCCATTATTGACCTGATCAGACAAAATGGGGGCGCTAGAGAGCTAATTTCTTATCTAGGCCTAACCACCATATCGATTTTTACTAAACTTGGTAGATATGTAGAACAGGACGCCTCAAGGTGACTGGAGAAATTTAACTCTAATTGGCAACTGGGTGGCGCTATAACAACAGAAAAATGCTTAAAAATGGCTAAAATGCCACCGGTTGCTGTGGCTCCCCCTGTGGACGAATGTCTTTTTTTTTCTTCTAATTTTTGGTATGACTAAGTCATGGTATGGTATGCTGTACATAATCACAGAAGCTGTCAGTGTGTTATTCTGTCAGTCAGTCATTCTGTCTGTCCCACGTTTTTCTACTCACTGACATGGTCAATCTATGTGAAACTGCACATAGGCATTGAGGATTGGCATAGGTAGAAGCTGACAAAGCTACCAATGGGTATGGACTAGTATAGATAGAAAAAATAAAAGTACTCATTATGCAAAATGGTAGCTCCGTCAAACACAACCATACAAACTCGAGCGACAAATTAAGCGACATAAGATTATTGTTGCATAAAATGAACTTATAAACATAGCTTAACAAGAGTTATCACAATTACCACAAGACCAATGTCGCTTACCTCTCGTATGGAGCACAACAGTAAAAGGGGAAAGGCAAGGCGGGAGACAGCTAGGTGGTGTACCCCCAAAGGTGAACACATTATTGCTGCACAATGACCCTGTTACACACCATCACAGCTCATCTCTTGATCCTTTAGTCTGTTTTCATATGTCTGTTGCTTAGCGTTACACAGGTTTCGGTGCTCTGATATGTTGTAGGATTATCCAGGTGCCCCGATTTGGTCTGGCTAGGTCAGGCTGGCAGAATGGTCCTTTTCAGAATAATATATGTAATATCATGGTGTATTGTAATAATGTGTATATTACTTTAATGCTGCAGCTACAAGTTTATATATAAAGTTGGGTAGCTTATAAATTTACATGGGAGGAAGGGGAAATATCACAATATTTCAGGGTATTTTAGCGATAGTGATATTATTGATGATATGACAAATCAGTAAAAAAAAAATTGTTATTAATTTATGAAAATAGAAGTGCAACAAAATAAGTGTTTAACAGTTTGCCTTCAAATATTCAGTAAGAACGGAACAAAAATGAGTAACTGGTAAACAACAGTTACTGTAAGATTCTGTATACAATATTAATAGTTAAACAAAACAAAAAAATCTACCAAAACAGCTCCCAAATACAAAAAAGTACCCTGGGATCTATATATATATATTTCAACAGGTGATTTCCATCTCTTTAGCAAAATCCTAAATGATTGAGTTGTGTGTTTTTTTGTTTTTTTTTCCACCTGGACCTTTATGCTCTGTCATTTCTCCTTTAATCATCACGCTGTGACAGGCTGTAATGCTACAATATGAACATTCACATGTAGTTTTTGTCGAGCCGTGAGCAGCACGAAGGTTTACATATGACAAAATCACTTGATGACACAGACTCCCGTGTGCGCACGGTGAGAGAGGAGAGGGAGAGCCGCTGAATGAGTTCCCTCTGAGTGGTAAGTCACTAAAAGAGTCAGAGGAGTCCGGGGCTGTTCATAAAACATTCAGGACGCCACAGTTTATTCCACACTACTGAAACTGCTCCTCTTTTTGGAACCACCGCAGTGTCTGTAATAATTTCACTTTCAGCCATGCTTGTTGTTGCTGTGGGTAACAGTATGACGTCAATATGTCAACGAGTCGAAATATCGCGTGTATCACAATATTAATTTTCATCATATTAAAAACAAGACCATATTATGGTGAACAAGATGATATGGCACAATTGGAGTGGGAGGATCGATAAAGTCCTGTCTCAGCCAATAAAAATACATCATAATTTCTTTGTTGATTATGTTTTGTAATATTAATCTGAATCTTTTAAGTTTCTAAATACAATACATGTGTAAATGTACTTGATAAATGATAGGTCAAAGTGTCTAGTAGTAGTAAAGAGGCTGCTACATGGGCATCAGGTGGCTCTTCTCTATTTTTTCGCAACTGGAATAACACTACAAAGAACTGTGTCAAATGTCAAACAATTTGTTTAAAAGATAATCAAAATAAATACCTTAATGTACCAGAGGCAATGTGACACAGCAGAGCAACCTCGTGGGTGTTTTTACATTGCACATTATACATTCTATAGTAAAAACGATCCAGTCATTAAGTTCAGTACCACTTCATGTAGCCGATGCCTCCAAACCCTACATAATCAGCTGCATTATCACTTTGTAAAACTGAATATACACACAGTAAGCAGGCACCAAAAAACATTTCCTGTGCCCTGCTCACATGATGTGTTGTGTGGCTCCATGTATTTCGGCTATAAGAATGCAACTTGACAAATAGGAAAAAATACTTCCCTTAGTACAAGTGAAATGAAATGAAGTAAACTTAAGTGTTATTAGACTCAGATAAACCAAAAGGGACATGTAAACGAGTAATTAGTGTTGCACTTTCCTCTGTGTGCCATTGTTTAGTCATAAAACTCCAGGAAACAAATGGATGTAAACATGAATAGATAAAACACTTAAGGTATTTTAAAATAACAACAGTTGGTGCGATGACCTTCTCTGTACCAAAAATGTAATATAAGTCATTAATATGCACCAGACTCCTTAAGAAAAGCTGGTAAACATGTTGACAAATAAGATGCTAATTAGTATTCATGGTGGGTCAGTGTCTGGAGGTTCAGCTAATCTTTGTTTATGTCTGTGTGTGTGTGTGTGTGTGTTTGTGTGTGTGTGTGTGTGTGTGTGTGTGTGTGTGTGTAGAACTCAGGTCTGGAGACGGAGAGCGTCAGGACTCTGGCTCACAAACTGGGTGCCTCGGCCAAAAACCTGCAGAACTTTATTTCCGGCCGCCGCCGCAGCAGCCAATCGGAGAGCAGGAGTTCGCGGCGACTCCCCAATGATCTGCTGACCTCCGTGGTCGACCTCATCACCGCCGCCAAGAGCCTGCTAGCCTGGCTGGACAGGTAATCTATTTACAGGCTCAGAGATACACTCTTCATTTCACTTGTACACAGACATGATGATTTAACATGAAGGCTTTACTATTGTCAGCAGGATAACTACTTTTCATAAATAATAACATTAACAATGAATCTGGATGTCAGACATCATCAGTTATTTACACCTGTGTTTTTCCAACTGTGTCGTGTCAAAGTGTTTTCCATGAAAAAGGCTCTTCACACCCACGCAGGTGTTTTCAGTTGTAGTGGATCATGTACATGTGAAGATAGACACAAACAAATAGAGTGTGGCTCCTTTTAAATGAGCTCAGCTCACTGTATTAGTGTTGATATTGTATTTTATGGTGATGGCAGCAGTTTGTTGAAACCTCTGTAGTCCTTTTCACCAAAGTGGGAGGTAATTTAATTTACAGAAAGTCCTGATATCTCTGAGTTGGATTTAAAAGTTGAAGGAGGCAGTGATAGTTTTGTTTGGTATCCAGACAAGTGTGTATTTTTAGACCTCTTTTTTCTGGTTAAAGATTAGGTTCAGAATAAATATGATCCTTTTAGTAATTACAATTAGTTTTGTATTTACATGTATGTATGGTGGATGCCAAGAGCCCATGCACTACAACAGCCCTAAAAATTTCTATTCAGAGAAATACTTAGCAGCTTCAAAAAATGATGCAAATTTAAAAAAAAAAAAAAACATACAAAAATTAAAAACAAACACAACAACAGAAATGAGCTGCAAATTAAAAAAAACTGCTTTAGCAGTCAAAAAGTCAAAAATGAAAGCACACTGAAACAAATGAAGCAGAAAAATGCTCCATATCCAGTCAACACAACAGAGGTACTCCAGGCCTCTAGGGGGAGTGCTGAGTGGAACAACTTAATTTTTGATTTTTGGTCTTGTGGGTAACCTGTGACGGTGTGACATGTGCTTCATGGTAAATGGGAAGCAGCTCTCTCAGGGTGTCACGGTGAAGATGGCAGACGGCAAAGAGTGATGATAGTCAGCAGAACTGCTGTTTTGTGGTGAATACTGCAATAAAGCCATTGTTGTGAACGGCACCCGAACGTCTCACCATCCTTCCGTCTGCAGAATGATCCAAACCGCTAGAAGCTAGCTACCGGCTTAAAATGAGCCAAGCTGATTTAATGTTAATAAGCCAGCGTGTTACTAACTTCAGTTCGGAGCTGGTAAGTTGTCACTGAGAAATCAGACCTGTTGCTCTTTTATAGTATTGTAAATGACTAAGTCCAAATTCAAGAATACATATCTTTTAATGTTGCTTTTTGACTCGACTTTACTTCCCGCCTTCATTTGTTTGGACTTTCTGCAGCATTTTTATTTCTCATTTCCTGCACATTGCTGTTGTTGTATTTGTTTTGGATTTTTGAATTAGCATCGTTTCTGAAGCTGTAGCACCTTTCTCCTAATGGAAATGGGCCAGCGTAGCTTGTTTGCCCCTGTCAGCCACCGTAGACATGTATTTTTGATCTGAAATAATTATTTAAATTGTCAGTTAGTAAATGGACAGCAATTAATAACTCTATAGGCAACATTTATTTATCACTGATTAATTGTTTGAGATAAGATGAAATACAAATGAGGGAAACTATACAAGAGCAATTAAACTCAACATCACAAGCGAGCAGTACACATGTCTTAAGGGAAGTGACATTTAGCAATATTTTTAATGTACTTTTTTAATGCAAAAATGCCAAAAATTAACTGGTTCCATGTTAATAAATGTGAATATTTTCCTCTTTCTTAATATTCTGTTACAGTAAACTGAATATCTTTTGGTTGAACAAAGCACATTCTAACATTTCATACCCTGAATGAATAATCGATCAATCAAACAATTAAAAAGTAAGATAATAATTAATTGAAGCCATAGACTGTTTAAAATAATGAACAGTGCCTCCATGAAGTCACCCATTGGTTTGTGGACTCCCGTTTTGGCATTTTGACTGTTATCATCTTGAATTTTAGGAGCCAGAAGTGACCATATTTTGAGGAGAGTGTGAAGATAATTGTAACGCTAGCTGCTAGCTTGTTTAGCATTGTGCATTTACAGCTATATACAGCTATGGCTAACTATGATAATGCTTATGCTAATTTTTGCTTGCGAAAATCAGGCATGAAACTGTTAAAATAAAGCATACATACTGGAAAAAGACAACATTAGAGGGTGTTTTAGTATAACCAAACACTGAGCAAAACTTTTTAGGCGACCAAAATGTAACGATTGGATATTATGTACTGAAAACATGCTGAAACAGTGACAGCTATGGCTATGCCTGTACACTGTGAATCTGGGGTTATGCCATAGTTATGTTACTTATAACACACACCTGTCATTCAAAGTGGCCAATTCCTTAATCATGCTAACTTTAAGCCTTGTTAAAATTTAATCTGGTGAGTTATGTAAAAATTCACCACCTGTACAGTTGAGTCCTAAAACTTTTTTTGTTCCAGATAATCATGTTTATTTCTGATGTAAAGTCGGGCATTTGAACATAGAGGTCTATGAGGATTGACTCGCATTTTGGAGCCAACCTCAAGTTCCCATTCAAAAAACTGCAGTCTGTCACTTTGGCCATTTTTGGCTTCATTTTGCAGTCCTGGAGGTTGCTGCTAGGTTGCAGCTCTAATGTTTATAATGCTTAATATGGAAAGTAGAGTCATAAATCTTTCCACTGTTGATATCTGTTGATCCAGTGCCTGTAAATGTTTTCTATTTTTTCTGTTTGTACAACTAAAGCTCCCATCTGCAGAACACAAACTCTCCTGCAGCTGCTGTTTGCTGACATCTTTTGAGAAATATGCTTTCTTCCACAGGAATAATGTCAGACCTTATTCTCACCGTGTTTCAGTGTCTCTCCCTCCATTCTCCTCTCCCTTCTGTCACTTCATTTATTCATGACTCGATACGATCTCCTGCACACGATGCACACGTCAGATACAGAACTAAAGGTCTTTGACATCAGCTTCTTGAAATGCCGGGCACCCACATCTGTCCTCAGGCCATCTAGACACACAGAAAACCATAGAGCCACGTCCGCAAGCGCACTCAGACCCATAGAAACACCCACACACTTTGTACAAAAAACACACATTTGCAGACACACACCCACATGACACGCACTTATGCAAGTGCACGCGTGTTCGCCCACGCACGATGATGCAACTGTAAATGGCAAAGCGACATTGAGAAAGTGATAGACTCAGCAGAGCTGACGCTTCATGCTCTCTATTCTTCATTTCTGAGACATATCTACGTGTTCGGGCAGTGTCAGATACTCCCTTTTTATGCTTTTATCCTGCATATTACATGTGCCAAACGGGAAGAAAAGAGCATTTTCCAGCTGTGTGAGGGCACCGGTACATTTAACATGCACATGATCCTGCCAAAGCTATTGTTTCAATGAAATCTCATTGCTTAAAATTGATTTCTTCTGCCTAGAAATAGCAAACAAGCGAGTGAGGCAAGCCGAATTTGAGCTGGATGATGTGTTGAATTCACTAATAGACCCTAACGATGTGGAAACAGGTCAGGATTTCAAAGCACGTTGGGCTACAATCTGTCTTGTATTTATACCCACAAGATGACTCCTTCTTCGAAGGTTAACACCGGCAGCAAATTAGCATAAAGCATGTTAAAACTGAACTTTCATCTCCCTCTGATTGCTGGTTATTAGACCTCTCAGGGATGCGGGAAAAGTGCAACATCAGTTCAGCTCTCAGGCAGCAAATGTACAGCACATTCAAGTTTCACTCTAATGACTCGAAAAGACATTTTGCAACCTTTTCAGAACAGCATGTGTACAGCACAGATCGCCTTTTTCCAGGCTTTTATTCCCTGATGTGTCCTTATATTATCTACTTTTCCCTGTCTCACTGGTGACAAACACCATTTTCATCTCCGCACTGACATCAAATCGACACACTGTGCAGAAGGCTTTGGGGGAGAAAAGCGATGTTATCATTCCAGGATGACTGAAATGGGCAGCATTTCTTGTTTCTTTGAACTCTTCACTTCCTTTTTATATGCACATTTGAAAGCACCTACCTATGAATTAATAACATGGCCACAGAGACTGCTAGAGTTTATCTGTGAGATATTTTGCTGATAGCGTAAAAATGTAGTAGTTGTTTTTTTTTGTATTTCTGGCCAATGTGGTAAATGAACAGACTTTAAATTTGGATCAAAACATGAGGGAAAGGGGTGAAGGGCATTGAGAGAATCAGTACTAGCCAGTGGGCAGTAGCACAAAATTACTAATGTGATGAAATTTGAAGTACATTTACTCAAGTACTGCATGTAGATGTGTACATGTTTTTTGGTAGCTCTACTTTACTTGAGTGTTTCCATTTTATGCTTCTTTATACTCAATTACATTTCAGATTTCAGAGAAAAACTCCACACCATTTCTTTAACAGCAAGAGATAGTTCATTTTCAGATTACATGAAAAACATTAAATACGAAGCATTGTTAAATACTAAACCAGTGGTTCCTCAAGTTCATATCAATGGGCTTTATAACTCTTATTATTTTTTTATAGTACTTAGATTTGTTTGAAAGTGTAATGCATTCATTTGACAATGCAAAAAAAAAATCTGCTCTTGTTTTCCAGTATTAACAAGATGATTATCTCAGAGTCATGAGAAACGTTTTCATGGGGAAAAAAGCTCTTGTTGTTTTTAAGCCTCCACACCCATGATAGACGTGGCCAGAGGCGTCATGTTTTCGGGTCGTCTGTACATACCTACATACATATGTACATCTGTCCCTCCCATTCGAGTGAATGTGATATCTCAAGAACACCTTGAAGAAATTTCTTCAAATTTGGCACCAACGTCCACTCGGACTCAATGATGAACTGACTAAAATAAGGTGGTCAAAGGTCAAAGTCACTGTGACCTTTCATCCATTGCATTTTCATGAATGCAGGCTCTCAAAAAGGTGTTGAGGGAGTTTCCTCAAATTTGGCACAAATGTCCTTTCAG